GGGAATCCTTATTACCAGCTCCAGCCTCAAAGAACATCTTCCATTAACTGTGACACTTTTCTGATCTGTTCTGAAAAGTATACATTGTAAGCATTGTGATATGAATGCAAATTTTATAGACCACTGAAAACTCTTCCCAACTCCTCACCTTACAGTGACCTTGACTAAAAATTAACCAAATAACCGTGTTATGATTTCACAAACTACTCGTTTACCTATGTGAGAAGATCTAAGTGGATGTCATCAGTTCTCACTTGTGAGGTCTTCCTGAATTTTGATGTAATAGTTCTTTCTTCTGAGTACAATTTTGATACATTGACTTTATGTATTTTTCTCTGCAACCGCATCAGTGGTGATTCTGCAGTCTTCATCATTTTCTGGACTCTAGCCAATTTGTTCGTTTCTTGAGAGTTTCGCTCTTTTGACTCATATTTGTGATATCCCCAACCTTCTTCCAAACACCAAACTCCAAACAAAACTCGCTGCCACTGATTTTATTCTGACTCATAGTGACCCTATAGGACAGGGTAGAACTACCCCTCTGGGTTTCCAAGACTGTAAGTCTTCATGGGAGGAGAAAAACTCATCTTTTCCCCCTATAAAAATTGTTTCATATGGGGCAGTATTCCCGTAAACCTGCTGTAAAGCATCATTTATTTGGGGAGATGTCAGTTTAATTTTTGTTAACAATCTCTGACCTCAAATAGTTTTTCCTATGGCACAAAAAGTAGCATGCCTCCTACCCCCTTACTTCTTTCAAAGGCATCCGAATGAGACCAAGACAAATATATTACCACGAGAATTTCTATGCAGCTATCCACTGATCGCAGAAATCACAGAGTTTCAAAATATTTTGTTTGGAATAAACAAAGAGTGTTCCTGCCTTCAGACCAGAGTCAGAAAAAAAGTTTTGAGTGCAACAAATTAATTTATTAAAGTGGTACTTGAGCAAAACACTAAAGGGCCCCACAGCTACTCTGAGGGCACTGTGGGTTGGAAATTCAAATTTTTATCCTACTCAGAGTGGTCCTTCCACCACTGGCTGGCTTTCCATAGCATATTTCCCTGTAAAGGTGAGGTCCATGCAGCCAAGAGTCCATACTGTGTCTATGTCACCAGGTCAGAAGCCAAGGGTCAATTCAACCATTGGGGAGGGGGGCTGTGTGAATAGCTTACCTTTCTCTGCCCACACCCTTTCACTATGCCCTCGTCTATTGGAAGAGAAAACTGTCTTTTGTGCCAGGAAGCTCAAGTTATAAGGGAAATATGCCTTCACCTCTCTTTTGTGCTAGAAAGTCCTTCCATTGTCAACTTCTTTCCCCTTGCACACTGTCTACCTAGCAAGCGTGACCCACCAAGGTCATTCCCAGGAGATCTGTTCAATCTTGACCCTTGAGAAAACTAGTTTCCTAAAGTTACCTTTAAGTCAAAATAATAACCTTAGTAAATTATGCTGTAACCAATAATTAATCATAGATAACCATTGCCAATTTAGACACTTGTCATGTAGAATTTTATCCTAAGAAATTAATTATGTAGAATCTCAGGTTTATCAGATATGAACTTTAAATGACAACATTTACTTAGAACCAGAGAATCAAAATTAACAATTACAGGGTCCTACTGGATGTTGTACCTTATGATAAATTGTTATCACTAAACACTCTCCTTTTTCCATAATGTGGGCTATCAGAAATTTTAGGACATTTTCTCATCTTTGGAACTTTCTAGTCAGAAGCTTTCCGCCATTTCCCCAATTGTGTATTAAAGAGAGGAGCCTGGACGGTGTAATGATTAAACCCTCAGCTGCTTCCCAAAAGGTCAGTGATTCAACCCCCCAGCCACTCTGAAGGCAGAGCAGTGACAGCATGTTTCCATCCTAGATTGCAGTCTTAGACAGCGTGAGACAGTTCTCCTGTTCTGCACTACAAGCATGCTAGGGGTGGAGATCAACTTGGCAGCAATGGGTTTATACAAAAACAAAAAAACCCTGTTGCCATTCAGTCCCTTCCAGTTGATTTCCACCCTACAGGACAGAGTAGTACGGCCCCATAGGGTTTTCAAGGATGTAATCTTCACTTGGGATGAGCCCTGTTGGTATAATGGTTACTCATTGCCCTGCGATCCTCCTGGTCAGTAGTTCGAAACCACTGGCAGCCTGGCGGGAGAAAGGCTGTACTTTCTACTCCTGTTAACAAAGTTTCCGGAACCCGCAGGGAGGGAGTCATTAAGAGTCAGCCCTGATTCCATGGCAGTGCACTTGGGTTGAGAATCTTCCCTTAAGCAGGAACAGGAGATTTCCCGCCCTTTCCCCTTTGTGTAGTAGGTGAGTGCCAATGATCTACCTTTAGCTTAGCGGTTGAAATCGGAACCACTGGGGAAATGGACCTGCCCCCTTGGGTTTCTGAGATTGCACCTCCTTCCTACTGTAGGAAGCTTCCTTCCTGTATCTCCTGATTGCCACCAGGGCTCTTCATGTTAAATAAGCTTATTGGTTTGCGAACTCATAGTGAACCTAGACATAAGACAGGGCAGAACTGCTCCGGAAGTTTACCCGACGGCAACTCTTTACAGGTGTCGAAAGCCCTTCCGTCTCCTGCGGAGCCCCTGGTGTTTCCCAACTGCTCTCCCAGTTGTGACCAGTTGTCACCAGTTGTCACCAGGGCCTCTTTCTTGGTGTAACATCATCGGATTTGAACACTGCCCTGCATTGTTCGTTATCTTCCCGCACACGTTACCGTCTTACTTCCTTTGTCAAGTATAAAGTCTTTGATGACAGGACCCGTGTCTGGCCCGAGGAGAATCCCACTGGTTGAAGGCTGGTGCTTACTTAGATCAGTGACCGTGGGAGAAGCAGGCACCCAGCCGGGTGAGATTCAGATCAGGCGAGATTCTCCAGATAGGGGCGGAATGGAAAAGAAACTGGTTCTGACAATCGCCTGGCTCCTTTCATCTAAGATTTCCCAGCAGCGAGCAATAATTTAAGAGCCAAGGCAGCGCCGCCATCTCTGGCCCCCATCTCCCCAGTCTCTTTCCCAGGGAGAATTTTTTTTTAAAACGGAGACAGGAAATAGTAGAGGAGGAAGAGGGGGAATGGTTCCCCCAAATCTTCTACTAACACGTCTTGCAAATTCCTGCAGCTAATGACAGGAATTGAGAAAGCGGAACCAAGAACCCCGGTCTCCCAGCCCGCAGCATCCACTCCAGTCTTGGGGGATTAGTCGGAGGAGGTGATCGAACCCCCGGAGTGGGGCTAGGTGTAGGTGGAGACCTTGCAGGCAGCACTGAGGGACAGGGGGCGGGATTGCTCCGCCTTCTGTTCCCGGGAGGCGGGGTTGGGACTGGGACTCCGCGAACTGCCAGCCCGCCCATAAATACAGCGCTTCCGCGGAGCCAGAGCGCGTCCATCATCGCAGCGGCTGAAGCCAGAGGGCAGGGGACAAGATGAGCCCGGCGCCGGCGTTCCTGAGCGCGGCCGAGGTGCAGAGCCACCTCCGCAGCTCCAGCCTCCTCATGCAGCCTCTGGAAGCGGCTCTGGCCA